GCTCAGACGACAAGACGATTCAAATGGTGACTATAGGGTGGTTGCTGTTATTTCGGATAATCTCTAGGCACCACTAAAGAGAAATATAGACTCAGTAGCCAGAAAGACTGCTCGGTGGGTAAAGGTGCTTGCTGCCAAGCTTAATGACCTGAGTTCAATCCCTGGAAAGTCACATGATGGACCCAAATAACCAATTATGACATAACCTGCACATTTATATCATGGCACACTCGCTCCCACACATGTAAACATACATACTAAATAAAATGTAATTGGGGATGGTAAGATAATTCAGCCGTTAAGAGCACTGACTGCTCTTCCAGAGGTCCTGGGTTCAATTCCCAGCACCCACATGGAGGAATACAACCATCTACAGTGGGATCTGATGCCCTCTTCTGGCACAAAGGTGTGCAGCAGATACATAAAATAACAAATCTTTAAAAAATATATGCAATTTTAAAAAATGAACTATTAAGTAGCACAAAGGACTGTCTTCTTAGAAGGGTAAAGGATGCAGACATGTCACCATGTGAGGAGCAGCCACTGCCTTGGGCCGAGAAAAGTCCCCAGTGAGGAACAAATGTGTATAACCACTTTCCATTGAGCTCTAAAGTGGCCAAGAGGCATCTTTAACATTAAAGAAAATCCCCAGTCTGTAAAAGCTGAAGTAATGGATCGACAGCCTCAAAAACAATACAGAGAAACCCTGTCTCATAAAAACAAAAAACAACAAAAAAAGCTGAAGTAATATGTTAGGTGTCTTCTTGGAATGTTGTGAGCTTTCTATAGGATGACAGAACTTCCCTACGTGTCTGGGGGAAATAATTGATGACATTGCAAAACTCCATTAAGACCCAGAATTGGACATATTTTAAAGTTCTGACAAAGTGAAGAGTCTTGACAGTGTGCCCATAGAAATGAAAGGGTCACCTACATTGTGCTTTGAAAACAGAGAATGTGTTGAGCACAATTGACCTCAGCAGTGTGTTGGCACTGGAATTACTTACCGAGAAGAGGCAAGAATAATGGAATTCTATTTGGTCCCACTGAGAATGCTTAAGACACACAGCTTGGAGATCTTATCCAGTAGCTGATGGAAGCAGAAGCAGAGATTCACAGCTAAGCAATGAGCCGAACTCCTGGAATCCAGTTGTAGAGAGGGAGGAGTGATGAGCAAAGGAGTCAAGACCATGTTGGAGAAACTCACAGAAATAATTGACCTGAGGAAGTGGGAGCTCACAGACCCCAATCTGACAGCTGGAGAACCAGCATAACACCGAACCAGGTCTCCTGAACATGGGTGTCAGTTGGGAAGCCTGGACAGTCTATGAGGCCTCTGGCAGTGGAACCAGGATTTAAACCTAGTGGATGAATGGGCTTTGGGAGCCTGTTTCCTATGGAGGGATACTCTCTCAACCTAGATACACAGGGGAGGGTCTAGGTCCTCCCCCCAAATGATGTAACAGACTTTGATGATCCCCCATGGGAGGCCTCATCCTCCCTGGGGAGTGGATGGGGGGTGGGATGGGGAGTTGGTGGGGGGAATGGGAAGACTGGAGGGAGAGGGAACTGGGGTTGGTATGTAAAATAAGGTTAATTTAAATAAAATTAATTTTAAAAAAAGATTCCCAGCTTGCACGGGCAACCAGTCTCTCTCTGATCTTTTAAAATGAGATTATTTAAGCAAATCAACTTTAAAATCACTGCTATTTTATGTATGTATACACCAGTGTTTAAATTCATCCACATATCAAGAACTAGAAGACAATCATGATTGTATGTCCATAATGATAATCTTTTGGCTCCAGGCTCCCTCTACTGACTCCAAAATAATAAATAAACATTTTATGGACACCCTCCTGACTAGATTCAATCATTTGTGAAAGCCAAGGCAAACTATCTCATTCAATAACAATGGATATCCTAACTAAGAGAAGTGGGACGTTTAATATTTGGAGAAAGGTGAAAAATATAAGCTAATTTGCAAACTACTTGTATAGATAGAACTACATGCAGTTGCCACCAATTTTTATCCACAAATGACAATGGCATGTGGCTTGACCCAATATTTTAATTTTTAATTGCCAAAGAGAGCAAGGTGTCATGAATACGCGTGTATATTCAAATGCATTGTCAGCGGTAGTGGTTGTCTTCAGCTAAAAACTCTCTCTAAATGCAATAATCAATTTACATATTTCCTGACTAAAACTAACCACAGGACGTGTTAAGCCAAGTGCCTTACAGGAATGTGTATATGGTAACTTTTGTTTAGAAGAAATACGCCCTTAGGTTAGTGTAAGATACAAAGTGCTTCCCGTGAGAAGATAAATGAAAGCAATGCACAACAGCCCTGTGTTTACATGAGGGGAACTGGAAATTAAACACCATCCTTAACAATTTAACTGTGAGAAGAGGAAGTGGGCTAATTTGCATAGACTTCAAACAATCTCACACTATTGAACAAACCAGCAAATCCTGGAAAGAATTAGAGGTAAAAGCCCAAGTCAATACACTTCAAACACCCTTGGTGTTCCCCCGGCAACTGACAAGAAAGCTTCTTCTGGGGAAGTTCACACTTTACACAAAATAAATATCAAGTCTGTTGTTGGTACTTTTCCAAAAAGTTAATATTTTACAGTTCAGAATTTTAGTTTGTCTGCCTTTGAAGCCCAGAGAATGCCTTTTGAAGTTGCGTTTTCACAGACCTAGGAATCTGGTCTGAGAATGAAAGATGTCATCCAAGATTTATTTACAAAGATGGTCATCTAAACCTTATTTTTTATAGTTGCTCTTCAGCACTCACATCTCATGCCTGGCACACAACCTCTACACAGCTCCCAACAGAGATTTTCAGAAATAATAATTAGCAGGAGAAAAGTTAGAATTTTCCAAATTAGGGACCGTCTGAAGAAATTATACATAAGTGTAAGATATATCATATGTATGCCACTAGAATATTTGGAAGACTAAAAACATTGGGAAAATATTCAAGAGAAAATGTTAGATAAAAAGAATACCAACAACATGGGCCATCAAATACAAATGTTAGTAAGTAAATCTCTATCTGTCCAGAAGAAGGCTAGAAGTAAAAATTAGAATTACTGAGATTACTGCTGGGCAGTAGAATTCTGGGTAGTTTAAATTCTTTTAGTTGTGCTTTTTAGTATGTTGTAAATTGTCCATCGTGAGAGTGTTTGCTAATCCAGGCCTTTTGTTTGGGAGGGAGCTTGTTTGTGTGTTGTGTGTTGTGTTTTCAGCGCTCAGTATCTAAGCCCAAGGCTGCAATGTGCTAGGCAAGTACCCCAGAACTAACCTACATCCCTAGTCCCATACTTGTTTTATGATCAGAAAACATTAAATGCTATTTAAAGGCTTTTCCTTTGCATCACGCTCTGCTAACATTTATATGTGTAATGTAAATGTACCCATTAAAAACCATGGGCCTGGCGTGTAGCTCAGTAGTAGCCTGCTTGCCTAAGGTGTTCAAAGCCCTGGGTCCAATCCCCAGTACCACTAAAAACAAAACATCATAGAGTTTAATAATAGCCTCGTGGCTTTCCCTTTTACTTTGTTAGAACAACGCCTCACTAGGCAGATACTTCAGACAAACTCAATCAGCATCCAAATGCACAGGCCAGAGCTAAACTTGGCTTTATATTTGAGCATTATGTTAATAACAACTGCCTAAAGGCTATAGAAATGGGCAAATTATTTCTGATGCTATTGGAATAAAGAGGAACTGCAATGCTTCTGCATCAAAGAGAAGTAAGATAACCATTGTGGGGTTGAATAGGCATTGGGCCAGGCACACAACTGGAATGATCTTTGTCCTTATAGTTACTCTGGAAGTAGATTCTTTGATTTAGATGCATAACACAGCAGCAGTGATACTATTACCTAAGAGTTACTGGGCATCTGTCATATGTCAGTCTGTAAATAGTTTCTCTTCCCATGTTCCGAGATGTAGGAATAGACACACCTTGAAAAACCTGCCCTGTATAAACTTGCTTGAATTGTCTTTTGGGGTGTGGGGGCTAGAAAGAGACAGCATAATCAGGTCAGCTTGATTTCTTACAATAGGACAATGTGTGCAGCAAAGCTATCATGATCTATTTATCAATACCAAGCAAATGTAACAGAACTAACTTTAAAAAAAAAACATGATCAAGAAATACACTTTCTCTTTGCCTTTACTGGGAAATATCTTGGGTAAAACTTAGACATCTGATATGTAGACTGTTCCTGTCCTTGCAATATCGGAAGTTGTAGCTTGCTAGGTCCTCGTCAGAAAAGGCATGTATTCGTCAAATTATTTTATTGAGTTCCTTAAACTTTCCATTCTAGCTGTTTTTCTTGATGCTTTCCTGTCATCCATGATTCAGAGATTTAGAGAGTGACTGGATAGACGAATCAGAGAATTTAAAAATAACTGAAACTCTGTATATTCTTGGTTCTGGATCTTGGTTCTATATGCTTTGGCTGGTTCGTGTGTGTGTGTGTGTGTGTGTGTGTGTGTGTGTGTGTGTGTGTGTGTTAACTAAAGCATCTTCTATAACATCAAAACTTAACATATTTTCACCATCAGGTAAAATGCACGTCCCCGGAGGGCCCTTAAGATAGTGATCATGTCTCTTATATTCTATGTGAAATTCGAATCCAGATTTGATTACAACAAACGGGTCTCTCTTCAAATCTGGTTGCCTAGCAACAAGTTCTCCGTATCCAAGGAGAGAAGTTACCCATTTTTTCCCCCTAGAAGATAAGCTTGAGAGACAATTGGGATTTTCTAACAGAGAGTCCTCCCACCCTCTTTTGTGACCAAAGCAGTGAAGCATAAGACCTCCGATTGGCCGAGGTGCCTCAGTAGCAGCCCGGGCGCGAAAGGGAACCCAGACTTGGCCCGGGCTGGTGGGAAAGGCGAGTCTGGTTCTAACACCTGAACCGGATCCCTTGGAGAACTGATGTCGAGAGCCCCAGGAAACCCATAATCTTCTCGGGGGCAATCTCAGGTGCAGGGGAGTTTGTTCATCTACATCCAGAGGCACCAATCCCTCCAACCCACGGCATCTTTTCTTCCACAAGTTGTAACCCCCAAATCAGGCCACCTCGCCCCTTTCCTCCGCCACCTAGAGTCAGGATCAGGTATGGACACGGACCTTCCAGTCCCCCTGTCTCCGGCCTTTCTCAAAGTAACCAGGGTACGTGCTCAAGTCTGTCCCAGGGTGTTCGCCCCTAACTTGCCCCGCAGCGTTACCCCCCAGTCCTCGGGGCGCTGGGCCACCCGTGCAGTCCGCCCCGCCCTCCGCGTGGTTCCAACAGGGGGCCCCGCCCCCGCCCCGCCCCCAGCCCGCTCCCTGCGCCCCGCCCCGGGCCCGCCGCGCTCCGCGCCGCTCGCCCCTCCGCTGCGTCAGGCCGCCCAGTCGCTGGGCGGCTCCCGCGGCTCCCGGGGCTCCAGCGGCAACCAATCCTGTCTCCATGGCGACGCGGCGTCCCAGGCTCGCAACTCGGAGCCCAGTGTGAGCGGCGAGCGGGCCTGGCACTCCTGGTCCGCCCTTCGCGGGATCTCCTTGGCAGGGCCGCCAGCGGGTAAGCAGTGCCGTGGTGACTGCGAGTAACTTCCCGGTGCCCCCGTTAGTGGCGGGACCCAGCCCGCACCTCGGACGGCGCCTAACCCTGAAAACTTCTCTACCACTCCAGGTTGGGGCTCTGGAGCCCCACGGCTGCCGAGGCACCGCCCGAGAAGGTAGGATGCATGACTGAGAAGAGGGGAGGTCTGCGTGGGTGTGTGCATCTCACCCTGCAGCCCAAATGAAAACTGTCACGTTCCATCCCAGAGCCTCCAGCTCCGCCCCAGTTTTCCCTGTTGCCCGCGATTCTTTAATCATTTTTTGCAAACAACGTAATGATTTACAGGGACGAGCATCCTCTGGCTTGCACTCTACTTCGAACTTTTTTGACCAGAGCAATGTGAACTTCGGACATCCTTGATCGCCCAAGAGAAGGGTTTGCACTACAGATCGCCTCTAAATCCAATCTGGATGATTTGAAATGTCCAAAAATCAAGATTTTGGCTTTTGATTCCTTGAACTAGTCTGCGCCGCACCCCAGTGGCATTTAAACAATATCTAGCACAATGATGCCGGTAGCGTAGGTGAAGCTGTTAGTTCTTGCCCCGAAAAAAATTGTTTTTTTAAAGGAGATCTGAAAAAGATACTTTCTTTTTGGTTGTAAGCCTAGCCTTTAACGACTGAGCCGTCTATCCATCCCTGAAAAAGATACTTAAACTTTATTTAATTCTCCTAAAAAACAAAGTCAATGACTCCAGAACACACACACACACATACACAGAGTTTTTATTTTTGTTTTAATCTCCAGAAACAACCTCAGCATAAATGATCTTTACCTGTTGAGTTTCCAGAGCTAAATACCAACACTGCACCCACTCCAGAATTTCTGTCCCTCACCTCTGCCCTGCTTTGAGCTACATACCTTAGCTGTGCTCCCTACTATCAGGTCCAAGCAGTGTCAGGTTTCAAGTAGAACTGGTTTCACTTCCCAGGTTCAGTCCCCGCTGGGCCAGGCGATTCTAAATGAGAGCCATAGGAGTTGTTGGGGTGGTTTACTTCTACTGGCTGTTAAGTTCTGTTATGTGTTTTACCTGTACAGGAGCCGAGGGGTAAGTGATTGCCTTTTATCCTCACTTTGTAACTTCAAAGAGCTGAATGGCAGACAGGTCAAAGAATTGGCTTGAAATTACAAGATTTATTGAGATTTGAACATAGGCTGCCTCCAGAAAGCTGCTGTCCTGTCAAGGAGGAAACACACAGTTTATAAGTGCTTTGGGTATCAGTGATGGGTGGTCATCTTATGTGCATTTGATACTGTACAGTCAAGTGTGCCTGGGTTGTGTTACACTCCCCTACCAGCCCTCTTCACCACAGTTGCCAGAATAGACCTGTCTATTCATCCATTCTCAGCGAATCAGAGCACAAGATCATTTATAAAAACAGATAGAAGAGTAAGATAGCTGCATAAGTATAATAAAGGAAAATGTTATGCTTTTCATTATTACAAGAGAAACCTAAAATAAGAATATTTGGGAATTTGAATCTTCAGTGCTAATCTTTACAGGCCACATGGGACCTGAGTGGCCCCACTGGCTGCAGTTTGGTAACATGTGCCTAGATGTGTATGTATGTGAGATATCTTACATCCATTTTTGGGTACTAAGCCTCCAAAATCTGGGGTGTTTACTGTCAGTTTGAGGTAAACATATTTCACAGGCTCAGTTCCTGTACACGCCTTAGTGGCTACCATGTTGAATGGTTGAACCCTAGTTGATATTCTCTTTCCAGTTCTACTCATTCAGTCAATGCTTACTGAGCACTGACTTATGTGATGTGGAGTTCACTAGGCCCTAGAAATAGGCAAATACGTGAAGTCCCTTCTCTCCCAGAACTCCCATCTAATGAGAAGATGATTGTATACGTGAATGACTATGATGTGCTCATATTTGGCTTCATGGAAAACCTCTTATCTTTTATCTTTAACATTTTTCTTTCATCTGTTTTCCTCTTTTTTGTTTTGTTTTGTTTTGTTTTGAAACAGTGCTAATATTTAGCCCAGGTTAGCCTGGCACTGACGGTCAAGACACTCCTGCCCTGGCCTACTGGGATTGTTGGCATTCACCACCATACTCAGCCATGCAAGGGAGCTCATTTGTTTGTTTGATGGTGCTGGGGTCCAGTCCAGTCAGTAGCTGATGCCTTTAAATGGATGTAGGATATACTCTTACGACTAAGAAACAATTTCTTTGTCACTCTGTCTCTCTTCTTTCCCCTCTCATACTAAAGACTGAACAGAGGATTTTGTATATGGTGGGCAAATGATCAACCACTGACCATTTTTGTTTGAGGCAGACGCTAGCCTTGAACTTGTCTGTATAGCCTAGGCTGGCCTGGAACTAGGCACAGTTCTCCTTCCTACTTCAGCCCCCCTGCAATTATAAGAATATTGCCACGGTTCTGGGCTAAGAGCAAGTTCTTAGATGCCTTCCTCCATGGTTGTGGTTATTCCTGAGTTCTCTAGTCAAATCTCTATATTGTGTATGTGCATATTGGTACATCTTCCCATCTGTTTCTTGGATGTTATGGACCAGGATTCTGTCCTTAGACTTCTCCTGTTCCATGTGGGTGATGCAATCCAGTACAATTCTGTTTATAGATATAGGCAGTGAATCACCATGGTCTGTGGGCTGTTGGCCAGCACTTTCTCTGAACTCTTATCTGGTCTTCTTGCCTCTGTTCTCTTTCAAATTTACCCTCCACCAAACTTCTGGTATCAATTTAATCTTCAGGTCTTCTTCAAAGCCTTGGTTTACATTGCCCAATACTTGGCATGTGGCGATTAATTAATGGCTTTTATACTTTGTCCCCAAATACATTTCTAACTTCTGCAGACATTGCCTGACACTGAACTGGACAATTCATCTTTTGTTACCTGTCTGTGGCCCCAACTTTGCTAAAGATCCAATCTTATAATGTTACAAGCTTGTGGTTGGGATTCTTTCCATTTATCCCATGTTGGCAGGTGAACTTGGTGCTTATCACCTGACACGTCCAGAGGCTACGTTAGCTCTGCTATCAAAGCTCTTACTATAGGGTGCCAGGTATGACAGCAAGAAGCAAGAGCCATAGTAGTCAAGGTTTCTTTAGGTTTCGAACAACAACACCACCACCACCACAATTCAGAGCTGTCTCAGGAAAAATGAGATTGTCCTGCCCATGGTGGGGACAGAGATTGAGTGGAAATAGGGACTCAGACAGCATTAGAGATGCAGTGTGTGCCTCTTATATGTGTTCTTTGTCTCTTCCCTCTCTCTCCCTTCCTCCTCCTCTCTCCCTTATGTTCTCTCACTGCATGTTTCTCATCCTGGGGTTCTAGACTCACATTTTCCCAACTTTATGACAGTCCGAGTTGGAAAACCTCAGGGAAATTTTGTGATGAGCTAAGCTTGGATCCCAGGTACACAGCTTGGGCTCGTCATTGCTAGCTTATGAATTACCACAGTGGGTGTCTTAGGGTCACTATTGCTGGGATGAGACACCGTGACCAAAACAACTTGGGGAGGAGAGGGTTTATTTGGCTTACACTTCCACATCTCAGCCCATTGCAGAGGTTTAGAGCAGAAACTCAAACAGGGCAGGAACCAGGAGGCAGGAACTGATGCAGAGGCCATGGAGGGGTACTGTTTGCTGGCTTATACAGCCTGCTTTCTAATAGCACCCAGGGCGACCCGCCCAGGGATGGCACCAACCACAATGGGCTGGGCCCTCTGTATCAGTCACAGATTAAGAAAGTATCTACAGACTTGCCTGCAACCAGATCTTATGGAGGCAATTCTCAACTGAAGTCCCTTCATCTTAGATGACTTTAGTTTGTGTCAAGCTGACATAAAACTAGCCAGCACAGTGGGTGTGCTTGGGAACCTGTCTTTGTAGTCAAGCAGCTAGATCTGGGGGCAAATACTATGTAGTACATGGTTTATGGATTCTTGTAGGAAATACAGTTATGAAAGGAATGCAGGAAACACAGTGAATAAGTCCTGGGTCTGGATGGTGGCACTGGAGGGTGGTTTAGGAACTGCTCAGTTGACTGTCTTTCCACTTCTGCATGCAGTTTCCACATGTTAAAAAGTGTGTCACCTCTTGTCCACATGTTAAAAAGAGTTTGACTGATCCTAGTATTCACTATTATCTCAGTTTGGACAGTATAGAAAATTACATTGTAGCCCCTCAGAAGCCTTGGGTACAGCGCTCTTAAGCCTGAATGGGAAGGGCGATGCTGTTTCTGCCTTGAAAGGCCGAGCTTCTCAAAAGCAGGAAATCCCTAAATCCATCGTGTGTCTCCACAGCTTAGCACAGACGAGTGAGGTGCACAGCAGGAAGGTTTGCTTTTCTGTTTCAGTGCTGAGGGTCAAACTCAGCAGCTCATACATGCTAACTACACAGTACACTCTTCCCCTAAACTACAACCCCAGTACAGATTTCTGTTTTAAATAGATGTTGAATATTACATGTGAATTGCAGACTGTTACGGTTATTCCCATTGCCAAAGGGAATGTTGACAGACATGAATAGAGTCCACCCATATTCCCAAACCCTGAGGTTACTCGGGGCTTCCACTTTAATTTCACTCATGTTAAACATTACAGCTTTCTCCATGGGCCAGCAATCTCTGTTAACATGTGTTAACATGTATTAACATGTATTAACATGTATCAGTACTTTAGGGCTGATGTGGCTTTGTAAGTTAATTGTCTTCAAAGCTAGTCTGTCTCAGTCACAGCTTCTGTTTTGCTCCCCCAAACAGTATTAACCCAAAGGACATGTCCCCAGCTTTTCTTTTAGATAAAACAGGAAGGTGTTTGTAACAGTGTCTCTCCTACATGCCAGGCTCTGTGCTAAAGCCCTCGGGTAGTTTATCCCACTTAATCTTTATGATGGTCCAGAGAAGTCAGCCCCATGATGATCCCCGTTTTTCAGGTGGAAGAGCTAAAGCTTACAGGAATTAAGTCATTTTCCAAACTGACCTACGGAGTGGCAAAGCCAGCTTTGAATTTGCTCCTGAGTGTCACTGACTCCTAAGGAATCAGTGTTAGGATGAGAGAGGGCAAGTGGACCTATCCTGGGGAATGGTGAAGCAGGACTCCGGGGAGTCTGGGTCTCCATCTGTGTGAGCTCTGTCGGTCCTGATTTTCCTTTCTCCACTGAAATGGGAAAAGGATGGGGTGCCTGCTTGTGCATCCCAGTAAGGGCTGTAGTCCGTGCGGATCTGAAGCTGGAGATGTGGGGGAGGCCGTAACTGGAATGGCCGTGTTCTGCCTCTCTTAGCAGTGTGTCTCCAGGACAATAGCCGTCTGTGGAGTCTGTTTAGTTCATCATTGCATTGACTCCTCCTAGGCTAGAGAATCAGAGGAAAACCTTTCGATTACCATACTCTGGTTTTCCACAGCTGGCTTCCCTCAAAAGATGCCTTGCTTTCTGGTACACTGGAGCACTCTGTCAACTCTGCAACAGAGAACTGAGCTAATAACATATGTCATATTTTGCTTGGTCAGGGTTCCCAGCATACAAAGCCAGAAGTGAAAGGGTAAACATCTCTGAGTCTGTATGAGAGAAACAACTGAAAAGTAACCAATCCCAACTAATGACACTTTGCTTTGTTGTCCACAGTCTTGGTCCTGAGTTTTGTATTCCAGAAATCCCCAGGTATGTAATAATAGCTGTTTAGAAAGTCTGGTTTGAGGGCTCAACATGGTGTCACGTGGGAGGCAAATGGAAAACTGTGAATTCAAAACCAGCTAGGTCTATGTAGTGAGTTCTGGATCAGTCAGTGCTATAAAAGTGAGACCCTGTCTCAGAAACAAACAAAAAGCCAGTCTTGGAATATGGAGTCAAGTGGGAGAAACAAGTGAATTGTTAACATAAGCTATAATTAAGTGTAATCTTTCCCAAAGTTAAAAATACAATTAAATGAAGTTTATTCAGATATATAAAGGGCTCCATTGTGGGGAAAATCAATCCTATAACTAGGTAACCTAGAACATAACAATAACAAAAAACTCAGAGAAAACATTAAATTTCTAAGTATTAGTAAATGCATGCAAAGATTCATAAGACAAAAATTAAAATGTATCATTGGAGAAATAAAAAATCAATTTGTACTGTTATATATTTAAATGATACTTAATATTTAAATAACACTTAAATGAAGCATTAATATAATTAATCTTAATACAAAATCAGGAGTCAAATATTGGGATAAGAACCTGGAAAATCAGGGAGCCAGGTGTAGCCGCCAGTTGCCTTCTACCTCATTCCACAAAGACTGGAGATCCTGTCTGCACCCCATCTTATCACTTCCTGTGTCCACCCCACGTGCTGGAATTAAAGTCTTAAAGCACCACCAGCTTCTGTGGTTAACTAGTGGCTAGTTCCACCCTCTGCTCTCCAGGCAAGCTTTACTTATCAGAATACAAATAAAATATCGCACAACACTTTAACATTTAAATAATTAGTAAAATTCCATGTCCCGAATATGGAACCTTCCAGCTTCCCCTGGCTCACATCTATTCTAAAATATCTTTCATAACAGCAGCAAACTGGACTGTGGCAGCAATTGACTTACCATGTTTTAGTTTGTTGAAGTTTGGGAGATAAATTTAAATGTGAGCTGAAATGAAGTTATGATTTCCAGGGTCAGCTCCGTGGGAGGGGTGTCCTAGGCCTGCTATTGACTGTATTTTAGTCTAGACCTAGAATCAAAGATAATGAGCCAAAAAGCTAACAGAACTGGGGGATTGGTCAACACATCACCACTGTCCGGAGTCGAATCATTTCTGCTGCTGTGTTCACATGGACTCCAAGGGGAGATAAGAAGAGAGTTGGTTTCTCTAGACCAGTGGCTCTCAATCTGCCTATTGCTGTGATGTTCCTCATACTGTGATGATCCCAACCACAGCATTATTTTTGTTACTAATTCATAACTGTAATTTTGCTACTGTTCTGAATCATAATGCAATTATCTGTGTTTTCCAATGATCTCACAGGGGCCCTGTGAAAGGGTGCTTCCATCCCCAAAGGGGTCATGACCCACATGTTGAGAACTGCTGTTCTAGACCTATAACTTCCTTTCTTAGCCCGGATGGATCCACGTTTAACAGCCTGCTAACAGTTTTGTGTTTGTTTGTTTCATTTGTGTTTACATTTATACAAGTATTTAGAAATTTACAAAGTAAACATCTGTTCCTTTCTTTCCCAGAAACTACCTAGACAAGAAAGATGTTGTAAAGGTAAAGAATACAGGGCTGGGATGTAGCTCGGTTGGTGTAGTGATTGCCTAGCATGCAAACTGGAAACCCTGCTTTCAGCCCCAACCTCCATAAAGTGGGCATGGGGACACAAGCCTGTCACACTTGCCCTTGGAGGTTTTGGTTATGTGCCTACCCTTTTAATGGCTGAGCCATTTCTCCACCTCAGTCCTAACACTTGGAAGGGGAAAAGCAAAAATATCAAAAGTTCAGGGGCGTTCATGGCTCCATGGTAAGCTCAAGGCCAGCCATGAATGCATAAATATGCCTTGTCTCAAAAGAGTAAATAAATAAAATGTGTAATGCTAAAGGTTTTGTTCTTGTTGGTTTTTGTTTCGTTTTTAGAATGCTTTGAGTCAGCTTTACCATCAGTTTATAAAGTTTAAAAATAATTGGCTTTAGTATATATTACACAATAGAAATATTTACATAAGGGCTCTTAATATACTTTTTCCAAATAGTTCAAATTAAAATAATAATGATAATTCTAGTTTTCCTTCCTGTTCTATTTTAGGCACCAAAAAGCAGACAGAATGGCACATTGCTAGTGTTTGATCCAAAGGGTAAATAGTTTATTTCTTAGAATGTGTTTGACCATGATCTTGTTCTGAATATTAGTTAAGGAGAATATTGGAATGGTTAAATGTGATTTTTTAAAGATTTATTTATTTATTGCATATACAGTGTTCTGCCTACATGCCAGAAGAGGGCACCAGATCTCATTACAGAAGGTTGTAAGCCACTATGTGGTTGCTGGGAATTGAACTCAGGACCCCTGGAAGGAGCAGTCAGATGCTCTTAACCTCTGAGCCATCTCTCCAGCCTGGTTAGATGTGGTTTTATGACTCAACAGTAAAGCCCATGTTATCTATCTTTCAAACAAAAAACCTTAACTATTTCTCAATTAGAATTTTATATTAGGGAGAGCACTGTTAAAAAAATACTAAATATTTTTCTTCTCTTTCAGAAAAAGTGATGATTGATCCAAATAAAGCAATTTCACAGTAAGAAAATGTCTTTGACCTTGCCTTTTAAGTAATTAGAAGCAGATAATGCAAACCATTTGTCACCTAATTAAACTTGCAAAGTCGGATATGCATGGGTGGACTTCAGTTGTTACTTGAGTAGAGAGATATTTAAGAAGAAAACTGAACTGCGATAAAAGTGAAATACAGCCCGGAGGTGGTGGCGCACGCCTTTAATCCCAGCACTCAGGAGGCAGAGGCAGGCGAATCTCTGTGAGTTCGAGGCCGGGCTGGACCGACAGCCTCCAAAACAATACAGAGAAACCCTGTCTCATAAAACCAAAAAAAAAAAAAAAAAAAGTGAAATACAGGTGATACTCACTTCTGCCTAAAGCTTAAACGGAGGGCTTTCTGGCTTATTATTTAATTTCCACTGCTCTTTCCTGTTTCCTTTGATACTGCTTCCTTCTTTAGATCATCTCTGTGAGTGAACACTTAATTTAAAATTAGTTTTCTTAGCTCATTTAACATGCATCATTAGTCCTACATAAAGAAAAAAATCACCTTGAGTAGTTGAAGAAACTGGAATTTGAAAATCACAGTGTATATCAATTAAATTTCTATGAAAAATTATACTTTGGATATTGACCTTAAAACAAATTCCTAGGGCTGGAGAGATGGTTCAGCAGTTAAGAGCCTCTTCCAGAGGGGCCAAGTTTGACACCCAGCACCCACATGTTGGTTCACAAACATCTGTAACTCTAGTCCCAGGAAATCCAACAGCCTCTTCTGACCTTTTGGGGCACTGCACATATATGGAACACAGACTCTTGCAGGCAAAGCACCCATACATAAAATAAAATGAAGGAAAAAAAAAAAGGTGCCTGGGCCAACCTGACCATCTCAGTTCAGTTCCCAAGACACACATGGTTGACAGAGAGAAACAACTCCCAGGAATTCATATGTATCCGTGGTTCTCAGACTTTCTAATGCTGCAGCCCCTTAATACAGTTCTTGTTGTGGTGACTCCCAACCATAAAATTATTTTCATTGCTATTTCATAACTGTAATTTCGCTGCTGCTGTGAACTGTAAATATCTGATATGTAGGTGGTCTTAGTAGATCCCTGTTTTTCAACCCCTTGGGGATCTCAACGTGCATTTTGTAAAGTGAAAAATTCTACTCCATGCAACATATATTTTTAGTTCCATATTGTAATAGCTAAAATAGTCATCTTCAGTTTTCTTGCATCTTTATATATCATATAAGCATAATACTTTAAAAAATCTTGAGTGAGCATGGTGCTGTACACCTTTAAACCCAGCAGCCAGGAAGCACAGGCAGGCAGATCTCTGAGTTTGAAGCCAACCTTGTCTACAGAGTGAGTTCTAGGACAGCCAAGGCTACACAGAGAAACTCTTGTCTCAAAAAAGCAATAATAAAAAAAAAACAAAAAAGCCAAACTTATATTTATGCAGGGAGTGGCATGAGTCACATGTGTGAAGGGCAGGAGACTAGTAGTCTCTCCTCTTGTCATGTAGTTCCTGGGTCTTAAACTCAGCTCATCCCGCTTGGCAGCTGTGCCGTCTTACCACCCTGTATACTTTGTATCAAAGAGAAAGTAATGTGTAATAGAACAATGTCAGAGGACTTACATTTGTTTCAAATTAAAGTTAGAGCCCACCAGAAAAAAAATGTGGATACACACAATTCTGTATATGCTGTTATCACGGTGTTGAAAGCATACTCAGAAAGCACGGCACAGCACGTGACGTTCAGTGGTAATGGAGGTTAGCAGGTCATTCATTGCTGGAAATAAGTGAGTGTTGAGTCCATGAGCCCTGCTGCATTGGTTGCTTTTCTTGTTGCTGTGACAAGATAAACACTTGACAAAGCACGGGTGTATTCAGAATCACAGTTAAATGTACTGAATCATGGCTGAGGAGGAGGCTTGGCAGAAGTGTGAGGTGCTACTCAAACTTTGTGCTGTAGTCAGGAATGAATGTGGCGTTAGCTTGCTTTCTCCTTTTTATTGGGGTCTGAGATCCAGCCCATGTGATGGTGCTGCTCATGTTTAACATCTCTTTCTACCTCCAGTAACTTCATCTATAAGCTCCTAAGTGAGCCCAGAGCATTGTCTCCTAGGTGATCTAGAGCCTGTCAAATTGACGTTCAGCGGATTGGGTGCCTTAGGGCTGGTAGGACTGTAGACTGCAGTCAGTATGAACCATCACAGCCAGTGTGCTTAGACAAACGGTGCTGAGCAGGGGTGAAACCCAGCAGAGGTGAGCCACATCCTGGGAGGCGCTGCCCAGGAGGTCACTGCAGCCTGGACCCAGACAGAAAAGCAGAGGGACATGTCTCTCGGTCCCCATTGCATTTGACTTTGAAACTACCTTTTGCAAGAATAGCCTGGTCAGGTTTCCCTGTGGTCATTCAGGGACATGAGCCAGGTAAATTCAGCCAGTGAGCTTCCTAGATGTGTGATGTGACCACTCAGGCCCCTTCCCAAAGGTGAAGGTAAAGGGGCTTAGAGTCATAGTAAAATGGAAGCTCAGAGAATTAACTCATGCAAACTGAATTTCTCAATGGGGCTTCCCATTCACTTTCATCCCATTGTTAGCTCCACCCACTGACTGGCAGGTCGGATTTGATTAAGTAAAGACCCCACCTGTGCTAGGCTAGAGGAAACTTTCTTTTCCCTGTTCCCAGTCTTCACTCCTGCGGCAACTACAGGGAAAATGGCTGCAGCAAATCCAGTTCTTTGACCACGGTTGAAGAAACAGTATCCTTGGGTGTTTGTTACATAATGGCAGTGTGCTATACAATCTCTTATAAAATGAGTGCTAAGCTGTTTTTCTTTTCCTTTCTGCCTCACTTTAAAGAAAATGCTGCTTTGTAAGAAGACCAAGATTGGCGAGCAAGCTTTATAGTTCCCCAACACAGATCTCCCTGGGTGTGGCTAATACATTCTCAGCAAAGTAAGATTTAAGTCATTGTTGATTTTGACCCATGGTTGATTATTATAAACCACTTAAGACAAAATTTAAATTGTAAGCATTCTGAAGATACAACGAATAACAATTGGGGAACATCTCCTAAATATGCAGAATAGTCCTTACAAATTAAGGAAAATGCTAAGACTTATTATTATACCTTCCCATAGATTTCAAAACTACTTAGTTAAATACCTTCTATGTACACACAGTAAAATTTGTAATTTTTCCTCTGTTGTCACTATTTTGAAGCCAATGAAACTGTCAACTGTTTTCTTAAGTGGTTAGAGTCCTTATACCATGAACATCGTTTTCTTCTCAAAAGGAAGTCAATAGGGTGTTTTTTTTAGGGGGGATTATTTGTTTATTTTTCATTTGTTTGTTTTTGAGTTAGTTTCTCACTAGGTAGCTCAGGTTGTCCTAGAACTCACTATTCTAGGACAGGCTATTCTCCATGTCGTAGAAATTCACCTGCCTCTGTCTCCCTTGTACTGGCATTAAAAGCATAAGCCACAACACCTGACTAAAGTCAGTAGGTTTAATTGGAGACAACCTTGCATTTCTGGCCTCTGATTCTTTGAATGTCTATGCTGTAGACTCTACAGGAAGTGAGAAGAAAGGGCCTTTGTACTTTACTGTTAAACTCCTGGTTGGGTCAGTTCTCGGGTAGGTTTTGGTCATGGGTGTTGTTAGCATGGTTGCTGCTTGCAACAGTGACATTCCATGCAGCCACAGGACAGTGAACTTGTCACCTGCATGTTTAGGGTTAATCAGAGCACTTTGAACTACTCTGTCCTCGGGGATGTAGGTTAGTGGATCTGCCAGCATCCTGCTGCACAGAATCTTAGACTGATCCTGTCTTGTTGATTTCGGTTAATGCCAGCCTTAGCCATGTCTTTCTTTTTTGGTTGGTAAATAAAACAGTGTCTTATAATAATGGCATCTAAGCACCAACAAAATACTGTCATTTAGTGGAGAAAAGGCCATAAAAGCCCTTTTCGTAGAGCTGATATGACTAAGTTCTAGTGATCATTGTTATGGCATCCTAGCAACAATCCTACCATCCCAGGAAAAGTGAGGACTTCAAGTAAGTTCTCACTATCAAGTTTCTCAGTGAATGCTCTGATATAACTAGAAGATAAAGGGTCAGATGCAGAACAAACATAAATCGTCTTCCCTTGTCTCCTTCATGTCCAGAGAAGTGTGTTAGTTTGTCCCTGCTGTCATTTTTATCTCTTTTTGAAGAAGTTTTTTTTTTTAGGTTGGTATACAAAGTATGAGGTTTTGTCATGATGTCTTCACGCGTGTGTCATAATTGGTTCTGTTCTGTTAGTCCCCTTTCCCAAGGCCAGCTCTTACCCCCTGCAGCTGATTCCCTTCCTTTCCCCCAGTCAGCCTCCCTTTCTACTTTTCTTTTCCATGAATTTTTGTGGTGATGCATTGTTATAGTATAACAAATAAAGCTTGCCTGGAGATCAGAATGCAAAGCTAGCCACAGCCATAGAAGCTGGGCAGTGGTGGTACACACCTTTAATCCCAGCATTCAGGAGACCCAGGCAGATGGATCTCTGTGAGTTCAAGGCCACCCTGGACTACAAGAGAGTGAATCAGTGTAAAAGAGAAACAGCTCACATCTTTAATTCCAGCACTACGGAGGTGGAGACAGGAATGATGTAGTTGGGTGGAGAGAGAAATATAAGGCTGCAGGAGACAGGAGCTCAGTGCAGTCTCTTTGAGTCTGAGCAGCAGTGCAGTCCCGAGCAGTTTGAGGTTTGGTGGATGACCCTTCGTTCTGAGCATTGGTGGAAGTGATAACTCTCTATGGCTGGCTGCTTTGTTTCTCTGATCTTCAGCTTGAACCCCAATATCTGCCTCTGAGTTTTTATTATTAAAACCAACTAGAATTTGTGGTACATATTTTATTACCCTATTTCCGACTACTCTTGAGACTGCTTTGTTCCTCTTCTAGTTTCATAATCTGTGAGCACATGAATACACACACACACACACACACACACACACACACACACAGTTTTAAACTTGGGTTCTGCATCTCAGAGAAGGCATGCAGTATCTGTCTTTCTGATTCTAGCTTATTTCCCTTAACACAGTGACTTCCAATGCATCCATCTTCCTACAAATATTATGATTTCATTTTTCTTGAGTGACACGATTTGTTTATCTGTTTATTTACTTACATTAGTTTTTTGAGACAGGGTTTCTCTGTGTAGCCCTGACTGACTTGAAACTCTAGACCAGGCTGTGTCTGGATTGCTGTATCCAGAATGCCTTGTCTCCTTGTGCTGTTTACTAGCATCAAGTTTCAGACTAAAAGCTAAAGAGGCTGTCTTGTGACTGTAGGGTTAATATTAGTGCTGGGACCTCACTAAAAGTATAGCACTTGGCAAGAGCAAGTGTCCGTTTACATTTTAAAAAGCCATTCAAGACCGATTTCCGCGATGAAGAAAAGCATTTCCGTAAGTGATTCTCTTCCGTGCTCTGCACTGGAACCCTGAAAAGATTCTATGAATTGTTGCACGATAAGTGCCAAGCAGAAATAGATTTTCATGAGCAATGAAAATTATATTTTCCAAAGAGCCAACATTCTATTTAAGCCCATGTTTGGTATATTATATTTATGATTTTCTTTGAAACATGGTAAGCATGAGTGTTTTTGTGAACATTTGAACACTATGAGCGCTATGCCTGACGAGATGCTTCATTGTCTGCTTTAATGGTTAGAAAAGAAGCCTCTTCAAAGAAGATTGAAGACAAAGTCTCTTTAAAAAGTACTGAAAACAGACCATCTTCCAGGAGTCTTGAAAATAAGGATGACTTAACAAACTGGCAGTCTGACCTGTGGTCATCTTCCTTCGTAAAAGAAAGTGCAGGTAACAAACAGCATGTCTCACTGGACTGAATACCGGTGCCTTCTGTTTTAGCCCGACTGCATGACCTTGTGGACATGAGTTGACTCTCAGGTGGGCCAAAGGAAACAGTATTTGTTCAAACTCAATAGACTGGGTTATTTGTTATACAGCCAGATAGGCGCCTGTGGATCAGTATTATATAAGATAATCATTACAGGACATTAAATCCTAGAATGGATTAAAACACTATGACAGCTTTTTCAAGCCAGAATGCTGGTACCCATGTCAAAGCAGACACTGACTTTTCTCTTAGGAAGCTCACGGTCTACCAGGAGATAGCTGGCTAGTTCTTTAAGAGTGCTCATTGGTTGAGGAACAGATACAGATGTGGCTTACTCGCAGAAAGGAATAATTTAGACTTTAAAAAGAAATAAAATTGTCATTCACAACATGGATGGAATTGGAGATCTCTATATCAAATGAAATAAGCCAGATAGAGAAAGACAGTGTCAAAAAAATCTCTCACCAGTGGGACCAATGGTTAAGAGTGGAGAGGGGGTTACCACAAGCTGGGAAGAAAATCTAGAAAGTAGGGCTGAGGAAAAACCAGTCAGTACAGGTTAGAGATAGGAGTAGATAGTGTCTTTCAATGGTAGAATGACAAGAAACAAGGAAAATGTTCTATGTCAAAAAATTAGACTGATGGAGTTTGTTTACCCGTAAGGAAGTGTCAGGTTTCATGCATCAAAGCATTACATGGCATTCATGAATATATACTTCTTTTTTTGAGGCAAGGTTTCTCTGAGTAGCCCTGACTGTCCTGGAACTTGCTCTGTAAACCAGGCGGCTCCAAACTCAGAGATCCACCTGGCTCTGCCTCCAGAGTGCAGGGCTTAAAGATGTACACCACCATACTCAACTGAGTGCAATTTTTATCAATCACTTTAAAAATAAAAATTTTAAGCAGCAATATGAAACGCCAATATGAAAGACAATTTGAGGCTACAAGAGTGAAATTAACAACTCCTAGGAGAGAATACTTAGGACCCAGAGATTAGGAAACTTCTTCACAATGCTGAGTGTCTGTGAGTTGAATGGGTCCATCTCTGTGATGTCAAAGGATGTTCTTGCTCACCCATTATGACCTTCCTTTGATGACATCAGTATGGTGAGGTGGTGCAGAGACCAGTTACACTCTGGAGAGTTAGGAGGTTGCGATTCCATGGAGACTGTGGATGAGAAGAAAGCAGGTATATGGGCACCCTCAGAAGAGCTAGTGACATGTTTCATCTTCAGCACGTTGACTTAGAGGTTTTTTTTTTCTGGTCTGTGTTTTCCCAGCCTGTCTTCTCTGGTGCTCTTTCCTGAAAGTAATCTTTTTCTTTTCTATATAGAGTATCTCACAGCCATGATCTCATCAATGAAGACACTCCATAGACACAATCTTTTGAGAAGCTGCGTCTAACTAGTTCAGTTTGAAAGTGTGAAAGACCACACAAAGCCAAAGGAATACCCCATAGTGCTTCCCACAGGGGCACATTATACAAAACAAAGTAAATACTCTTTTTAATTGCCCTAACAGTACATTTTAATGTATTTTAGGAAGGAATAATATAGAATGTAATTAAGAGTATCAGTTCTAGCCAACTGACTCCCAGACCAAGTAGGCCTGCGACATGAACTTGAGTAGGGGTTGTTTCACCTTTTTGCCCCATTTGTTCACTAGTAAATATGAATAGAAACACCACCCAGCTGGAGAGATGGTTCCATGGGTAAGAGCACTGGCTGCTCTTCCGGAGGACCCAGGTTCAATTCCCAGCACCCACATGACAGCTCACAACTGTCTGTAACTGCAGTTCCAGGGGATCCAACACCCTCACACAGACATGAATGCGAACAAAACACCAGTGCACATAAAATAAGAGGAACCATCTCAAAGAACAGTAACGAAAATGATAAAGAAAGAAAGGAAAGGAAAGAAACACTGCCCATCTCACTGGGATGTTGGCAGAAATAAATGAACTAATATGTGTACAACCGGGAGCAGTAATCATGTTTCTTTGTGTGTGCTGACTGTTTTTATTAATACATCGGTTTCACGGATGCTGATAGGATCTGATCCAATTTATCATGTAAGTTTTCCACTATTATGTGTGCTCTGTTTAAGGTGAAGCTTTCCACTATTATGTGTGCTCTGTTTAAGGTGAAGCAGTCAAGGATGCAGTCCTTGTGAAGCAAGAGAAAAATACTGAGTTTTGCCTTCAGGACATTGAGGAGAAGCTGTCGGATTCAACAGATGGCGATGGTGATGATGACACCAATGATGAAGATGACGAAGGCCCCGTTAAAAAGGAGACTCGTGCCCCGCTAGAGTTAATGGCAGAAGTAAGTTTTTGCATGTGTATTATAACTAAAGAAGCATACAGCACTTGGGAGGCAGAGGCAGGCAGATCTCTGTGAGTTCGAGACCATCCTGATCTACAGAGTGAGATCCAGGACAGCCAAGACTATTACACAGAGAAACCCTGTCTCAAAAAATCCAAAAAAGAAGCATATAAATACCAAAGTCATTAAACAGAATATTATGTTAGTATGTAGAGTAAATTATTAATATGTTTAGTAATTGTTCATTATTGATAATCATTTAAAATCAATTATTTAATTAGTATATATTAATTATTTTAAGTTAGCCTATTTCTTTGAGGTACCACATCTCCCTACACCTAGAGCTTGCATCTTCTTGGCTAGACTGGAAGCCAGCAAGCCCCAGAGATCCTCTTGTCTCCATCTCACCCCACCCACACCCAGAGCCGGGGTCACAGGTGTGGACAGAGCTCATGGCTTGCTTCATAAGTGCTTGCATTAGAACCCTGGTCCTTATGCTTGTGGCACAAGCACTAGTAACCACTCAGCCCTCCGTCCAGCCCCCAGAACTTAGTTATAGATGCTTCAATGGCAGCTAAAAGTGTATGGAGATCCAAGGAAGAAAACTAAACATTAACATCAGAACCTGGAAAAATTACAAACAAAACCAGAACGGGAAACGCTAGTTAAAATTCAAACAAGTTATTGTATCAATACCCTGCATACATTTGAAAATATGCAGATCAAACCATTGCATATCATAATTAAGATGAAAGCAGAAAATCCTAGGCCTGGTAGCTCATGCCTGGTCTTCGAGGGTGGGGGCAAGAAGAATAAGAATTCAGTTGTCCTCTGTTACATAGTGTGAGGCAAGCCTTGGCTACTTGAGATAGCATCTAAAAAAAAAATTAAAAAATAAGGCCGGGCGGTGGTGGCGCACGCCTTTAATCCCAGCACTTGGGAGGCAGAGGCAGGCGGATCTCTGTGAGTTCAAGGCCAGGCTGGACCGATAGCCTCCGAAACAATACAGAGAAACCCTGTCTCGTAAAAAAAAAAAAAAAAAACCCAAAAATAAAATAAAATATAGCTACAAACAGGAATGAAAATAAAAATATTGGAGCTGGAGAGATGGCCCAGCAGTTAAGAGCACATATTGATTTTGCTGAAGACCTGAGTTTGGACCCTACATGTGAGTTGCCTTCCCACAAGGCAGCTCACAACTGCCTGTAACTCCCAGGGGTTCTGATACCCAGTTCTGGCCTCTGCAGGCACATGATGCACACACATACATGCAGATACTCACATACCCACATAAAATAAAAGCAAAATCAAATTAAAACCTAAACCTTGGATAACGATAGAGATTTTTAAAGTAAGAATTCTATTGCATGAGTAGACAAGGCATTTGTTAATATGTAAGAAGATGAGAACATAGATTAAATTAATGATGAATAGAAAAGTTTCTCAAAGAGTTTATTTATATTAAGAAAAGCATTTGGGGGCTGGAAAGATGGCTCAGTGATTAAGAGCACTGGTTGCTCTTCCAGAGGTCTTGGGTTCAATTCCCAGCAACCACATGGTGGCTCAACGGCCATCCCTGATGAGATCTGGTGCCCTCTTCTGGTTTGGAGGTATACATGCAGGCATTACACTGTATATATAATAAATAAATAAATCTTTTTAAAAAAACATTTGATCACATTTTTTATTAGTGGGAGGTGGGCACGTGTTTCACAGTATGCATATGGAGTCAGTTCTTGGCTTTTACCGTGTGGGTCCTGGGGATTGAACTTAGACCATCAGCCTTGGCAGCAAGCACCTTTACCCACTGAGCTCCATCACCAGCCAGGAAAAAAATGTCTAAAAGCCTTAGTGTAGAATTAAGAAAAATGCTAAAGAACTGCTTCTTAAATTGGTAAATAGTTCTTTTTCCCAAGTCTGTAAGTGTCTCAGCATTTCTCAGGGACCTGGCTCTTGTAGACCAGATACCTGCACTTGTATATAATTCAAAAGCTGCCTCACACAAAGCCATCAAATATTAGGTGTTCTGTTTTATTGGAAGCAATCTAAAGAGCTAACAACACAATATTCAAGAAAAATATACTCTAAGTAAAACTTCCAAGTCACTGTTTAGTGATGGCATGTCAGCTCAGTGACAGAGCACGTGCTCAGTGTGCATTCACATGGCCTGGCATGTCAGCTCCATGGTAGAACATGTGCTCAGTATGTACAAGGCTGTGAATTGACCCCCTGCTCCAAATTCCCAGCAAAGAAAGACTATTTAGTGCCCTCTGGGAAAGTGATCACAAATTGTGGTTTTTGGTTTTGTTTTTTAGGTTTCTGAATAATATCAACACATATGCACATAAATACTCATTTATTTTTAAAATACCTGAGGAGTTGTTGACTGATTGGTTAAAAGCACTGGCTGCTCTCGTAGATGATCTGGTTTTGATTCCCAGCACCCACATGGCTGCTAACATTCATCTGTAACTCCAGTTCTAGGGTGATGCCCTCTTCTGACCTCTGGCATGTGTGTTGTACTCATGTATACATGCAGGCAAAACGCTGTGTACATAAAAGGTTTTTTAAATATATGAAAATGTTAAAAAATTACATCTCTATATATTAGAAGTATTTCCAATTAGAGACAGAATATACTTATTTATCTTATAAAATTCCTACTTGGCAAGCATGTACTATTTTTTAACCACCCAAAGCAATAAAACAATACAAGCACAATGATGATACTTCAGCAGTACTGGTAAATAATGGGTTACATAGCATTAGTCCACAGTTCTTTGCTGTCTTTTTTTTTCAGATTTATTGTTTATGTGTGCTTTCATGTGTTCATGTCACCACACACATGCAGATGTCCTCAAGTCAGAAGACATTGGATCCCCAGCAACTGGAGTTACAGATGGTTATGAACCATGATAGGGGTAGTAGGAACAGAACCTGGGTCTGCTTAAGAGCATCAAGTGCCCCTAACTGCCTACCTATCTCTCCAGTCCCCACAATTTGTTTTTAAACTAGTAATATGTCATCATGGTCTACACTGGCAGAGGAAAACTGACCCTGAACCAAAGAAATATGGGAACAGTGAGACCAATGTGATGCCAGTTGAATCAGCCTCCTCATCCTCAGGCTGCAAAGCAGCACATAGACCTTGTGGCTGGGCAACAGGACTAAGCTCTCTCACCAGATTCCATCACACATCTCCAGATACAGACTTGGGTGGAGAGATGGCTCAGTGGTTAAGAAAATTTCCTGCTCTTCTAGAGGACTGGGAGTTTGATTCCCAGCACGCATGACAGGTAGCTCACAACTTCCTGTAACTTCAGGGGATCCAGCACCCTCTTCTGACCTCTGCAGGCACCTGCACACACAGATGGCATATATTCACACAGACACATACTCAATGCATGTGAATACAAATAAAAATATTAAATATAAAAATACATATGTGGCTAGCTGACTGACTACAGACTAACTCATGGAGAAATGTGTAAGTGATAAGAACAATAACTGCTCTGTGGTTAGTGGCACACACACACACACACACACACACACACCTTTAAGCCCAGCTCTCTGTGCGTTCACCAGGGCTACACAGAGAAACCCTGTCCCCCTCCCCAAAGTCAGAATAGCTAATCACTAATGAGTATTTTTAGGGAGTTTACTATAATTGGCATCTAAATTCTGTCTTGAAACCACTCATCTGAAGCATTTGTTTTCCAGTTCCTGAGAGCAGAAATGGGCCGAGACTACCAGCTGGCAAAAAAGTTATGTCAGATGAGTAAGTGCCAAATGCTCGCCTTCTCCTGCTGTCTCTTTGTTTCTAGAAACAGATTCCACAATATGAAAATGGGTTGACTATCCCAGTCTAGTGAAATCTCTGCTGATGTCTCAGAGATCCCTTAGAATAAATGAGTTCATTCAGTTATCTATGGACTCACTGGGGCTCCTGGGGTACTACTTTGTGTATTAAATCAAAGTAGATTAATAGACTGGTCACTGTCCTGGAAAACAGAATTATCGTGACATAGGAAGCAGAAAGTCACTTTGTGCTACTAAGTTTCAGCGAAGAGTCAGGTGGTAAGGGAGTCAACACTAGCTGAACATGTCTATTCCACACATGTTCAACCCTGCTTGTGTGCCAGGCACTGTGTGAGACCCTGGAAAATCAGCAAGCAACTGAAACCAATCCCACAGTCAGGTCTGCCGTTGGACAGAAAATACACTAATAAGTAATTGCTGTGTCATGAATGATAGGTGCTATGGAGAAAACGGCAGTAGGAAAGAGGAAGGGGAGGTACTAGGTGGTCAGGCAGTTTCCATAGGACGGCCTGGAAGTCCTCATTGGGAGCTGGAGGACAGAACTGAACTGTAGGAAGCCAGCCTGTGGGCACAGAGCAGAATGACGTTCACGCGTGCTGAGAGGGAAGGTGCCTGAAGGCAGCCGTCAGAAACCTGTGTGGGTCAGACAGGGCAAAAGGAGGTGCTGACCTAGGAGGCTAGAGACATGACATGGGCACAGGGCTGGGAGGGCAGCACAGACCTTTCCCCAGTGAAGGACCTTGTTTTTTCCTGTGGTAGGTGGAAAACTCTGGAAGCTTTTGATCAGAGGAGATATCTGGTCTGCCTTATCTTTCTATCTGATGTTAGGTGGTTAGAATTACTCTTTGTGGTTTTGTGTTTAAGTAATGGGTGCTTTGTTGAGCTTCTTAAGTCTGTATTTGACAGTTTCATCAAGTTCAAATTTTGCTTGGTTATTACCTTTTCACATACCGCTTCTGCCTAGTTGCTCGAGCCCCTTTTCCTGGGTCTCCAATTACAGGCAAACACCAACACCAACTTTTTAAGTGGTGCCTGGCATGCTGCTTACACTGAGCTTAGTGCTGAAAATTTTAGTTCTGGGCTTTGTTTTAGGCATTCTCTATTGACACATTTTTTTTAATTTACTTACCCTCCTTCCTTGTGTCCAGTTTGCCGTTAAAACTGTCCAGGGAGGGGCTGGAGAGATTGCTCAGAGGTTAGAGCACTGGCTGCTCTTCCAGAGGTGCTGAGTTCAATTCCCAGCAACCACATGGTGGCAGCAACCACATGGTGGCTTACAACCATCTATAGTGAGATCTGGTGCCCTCTTCTTGAGTGTAAGCATACAAGCATACATGCCGAAACACTGTATACATAATAAATAAATAAGTTTTTTTTTAAAAACTATCCGCCGGGCGGTGGTGGCGCACTCCTTTAATCCCAGCACTCGGGAGGCAGAGGCAGGCGAATCTCTGTGAGTTCAAGGCTGGGCTGGACCGACAGCCTCCAAAACAATACAGAGAAACCCTGTCTCGTAAAACCAAAAAAAAAAAAAAAAAACTATCCAAGGAGTTAGCTGGGAGGTGGTACACTCCTCTAATCCCAGAACTCAGGAGGCAGAGACAAGTGGATTTCTGTAAGTTTGAGGCCAGTCTTGTCTACAAAATGAGTTCCAGGACAGCTAACAGAAAAACCCTGTTTTGAAAAACAAAAAGAAGAAAAAAAAAAGCCTATCCAGGGAGTGTATTTTCAGAGAGTCTATTTTCCAATGTTAGAATTTCCTTTAATGATTTGGAAAGATCTGAGCCAGCTCTTAATTGGTGTTTAATGCATTTCCAACCACTCTGCCCACCTTCTCTTCTTTCTCTTTTCTTTTCTTTTCTTTTCTTTTCTTTTCTTCTCTTCTCTCTCTCTCTTCTCTTCTCTTCTCTCCTCTCCTCTCCCCTTCCCTTCCCTTCCCTTCCCGTCTCTTCTCTTCTCTTCTCTTCTCTTCTTCCTCTCCTCTCTATGAAGCCCTGACTGCCCTGTAACTCACTATATAGACCAGGCTAGTCATGTAGATAAGGCTGGCGCTACCTTTTCTTCTAATATGGCAGTCATGGTTATTTTAAAAGAGAAAATGGCAACTCTGTTCCTCACTAATAACAAGACCCAAAATGGTGACTATGATGGGAATGCATAGCCCAGGGATGGGAGCATCCCCACCCTGACCCAGCACTTCATTACTGGTTAAAATGGGTTCAGAGGTAGTGTGCCTTGTTAATCCTTGAAAGCATTTTGACCTTTTGACCCCCAGCCATACATGGAGATGATGCTCACAGCACACCTACATTCCCAGACCCCTTCATTTGTTGTCTCTTGGATTTCAAGGACCAGCCGTTAAGTGGTGGTTAGTGTGCTGATCATACTGCCTTGAGTTCCACCAGGTCCTAATATGTGGTCGTCCTCATTGGTTAGTTTTGCACCACTCAGAACTGGGCTTTTCCAGCTTGTTTAATTGCTAAGTCTTTTCCTGAGCCGTTCTTATTGTGTACTGTATCCTTTATTTTTTTGAATTTTGTTAATCATAAACATGTGCCAATTCTTTGTTAAAAAAAAAAAGACTGGACACACCACACCAGACATTCTATTCTCTGAAACTGGAAATTCTGTGTGGTGCACCAAACATTGTGCTTTAAAGACTCTCAGTGGGCTCCTTAAGCTGAATCTACCTTAAGGGGTGCCCTGAGAGTCAAGCCCAGAGCCACCCATGCTCATGCTTCCATGTCTTCCACAACTGAGTGTGCCTGGCCCCCAGCCCTGTCACTGTGTAAAGGAGCTGAATTCAGGTAGGCAGCTGACCTGGCACTGCTCATGGTGACAGTGGCACAAGAGGGGGGGGAGGACACGGGGGTAGGAGGGGACGGCACTGGGAAGCCCCTTCCTGCAGTATCTCCCTTCTCCCCAGCAGGGAGTACAGAAGGGAGTGGTTCTATTTCTCTCACTCCTGACTCTGGATTTCTTATGGATCCCAATTTGGAGGAAATTACACTTTTTTTCCCTCCGTACCCACCCACCGATCATTTCAGATAGCCTGGCTGAAGCTTACAAACTCGGCACAAGTGTCACATCCACCAGGCACCCTGCAGTGCATGGCATAGATCAGGCTTCCAGTACAGTGCTGTTGACCTGCTGTGAACTGTGCACATCCACTGTAGGTCCATGGGGCTGAAAAGTTTAAACCGGTGCGTCTTCATGGGATTATAGCCTAATAGAATGTCCCCCTCCCTGTCCTCTCCCTTTGCTTTCCCGCCTTCCTGCAGTAACATATTGAACGCATGCTCTACCACAACACTGTGCTGGAAAGAGAGCAGGGGTCCAGGCCATTTGTTTTCCAATGTAGGCTCACCCGCTTACACTGCTCGGATTTCTGTCTCCTGGCCTATAGTACTTGTGACTGGATGTAAAGCAGTCTGCTTCCTGTCCCTCTGTCTCATTCATTTACTCTGACATTTAGAGGGTTCCTGCTATGTGACAGACATCTGAGTGGGGATACAGCTCTGCTTTCTGGTTTAATTCCCCCACGCTGAAAAACTGAGAGACACAGAGCCCACTGCTCCACCACCCCAACCCCTCAGCCAAAAGAGAGCCCCCCAATGTTAGCCATTCTCTAATCCTAGAGCCCCTCTTTTAGGATAAGGATATCAATGGCAATAACAACTAATAATTATGCGTTGCTCTACCATGCGCCAAGCACTGAGCCACTGTATAAAATAGCCAGGGCGGTAGGAGCCTGGAGTGCAGGCTTGACATACTGAAGCTGGACCCTAAAGCATTCCTGTGGGGGGCTCTTTCTTTCCCAGTTGCTCAGATGAGCTCTGTTTCCCCTACAGAGGTCCAGGTTAGTAAACAACCTCTAACACAAAATACTAGAAATTTCCCTCAACTCGCCACAGACCCTCTTAGTCACTCTCAGAGTAAGGATGCCCTAAACTAGGCATTGCTGGCCAAGCGTTAAAGCTGCTGCCATTCCTTCACTCTCTGAAGACTGACAGCTGGGACAGCCAAGATGAACCGGAGTAGCTAATCTCATATCTGATCCTGTACGATAATCCTATTTCCAACGAGAAATTTTCCAAATGGTTCTAAGAATTGTTAACCTGTTCTGTGAACCCTGTGGTTACTCCTCCATGTAAGTTTTACCTGGATAACTGTATTTGACCTAGTTTGCCAAATGAGTGTGTAAAGGAGCAAATCAGCGGAACTGTTCTTCAAAGAAGCTTGCCTCACACAAATAATTTCGACTAACATATAAGCATATTTTAGTCTAACTTAAAATATAGAAAGAAGTACTTCTACAACATATTGGTTCTGAAGACACCTAAAGTCCTTGAAAGGAACTTTTAAACAGGCACATAGTCCAACTCAGACTGATGATAAATGCTAGTCACATTTAGTGGAGTCAGAAGTAGTCACTGGCGTGGTGAATTGAGGCAAAGGCCAAGGGATCATTTCCTACAGAGCCTTGAACATCCACAGTTACTTCTCAACACACAAGCAAATGAATAGCACACTTGGTGTTTCAGTGCCCCCTGGGGGCCACCAAGATACTGCATGAGAGTGGAGTGGGTGTGTGGCCCGAATACAATACTCCTCAAGGCAGGTGGAAAAGAGGAGGGGTATCGGCAGGGTTTTGATAAAATAGGGTGACTCTGAAATGAAACTCTGGCCTCTAGGATATTGGTAGCATATTAACAAGCCTCCCCCAAAAAGTAGTCCAAAGGAAGCAGCACAGTTACAGCAAGGGTCAGCAAAGGGCAGGGGCTGGGGTAGAGACTAGGGTAAAAGTCGCCAGAATAGAAGTATAGTTTCCCTGCTTGAACAGTGGCACTCACGCCGTGCAGGAGTTGGCACAGGGAAGAAAACTCCCCTTTGGGATAGATGGGACCTTTGTGTAGACACTGCCATGCAGACACTTGGGGGATGAGATTGGGAAAGGTAGCAGAACTCTAGGGACTTTTCTTATCATCACTCATGTCTCCAAATTTGGAGACTGTTGCCCTTTGGAGAACTTGATTCTCGAAGTTCTTCCATCACTGGCCTGGGAAAGAAGCTGTGTTGAGGAGACTGTGTTCTTTGGATAGGAAGTGGAAATTACAGGGAGCATCATTTATCTTATAAAATACCACATGTCAGTGGAGAGTTTTCTTTATGCTTGGATGTACCTGGGATAGAATTGTGCAAGTTTGTTTGTTTTGCTTTTGCCTGCTCTGATTGACAGTTTCAGTCTGTTTCACTCTAAGGGGCTGTTTGCTCAAACACTAGATATTAATAATGTTGTAATTTTTTTAAAAAGTGGCTAGAGAGAGAAAGATGCCATGGGACAGAGTTCAAGCAGAGGGTTTTTATTAGGGAAAGGGATCATAAAAAGGGGAAGGGGAAGGAGAAGAATGGCCTCCGGGGACAGGCGCAGCAGGAGAGAGGAAAGAGAAGCAAAGAGAGAGACAGAAAGACTGGGAGAATAACAGACAGAGGGAGAGAAAGAAGGAGAGAGATAGGAGGTGGGCAGGGCCCTTTTAAAGGGGAACACAGGTGGTGCTCTTAGTGGCAGCAGCTGAGGGCGTATCCTGTCAGAACTCCAGAGACAGACCGGTATAGATACCTGGATACTAACAAATAACATACATTCTGTTGTCTGTTTTCAGTCCTGATCTATGAACCAGAAAATCCTGTGGCCAAGGAATTTTTCTTGCTCATTGAAGAAATATTGCTAAAGGGTAATTTTAAAATTTGAAATTTATTTTTCCTCATAGAACTGTAAACAGTGTTCGTAAAAAAAAAAACTATTATGAGAGATTGTGAAAATGCTTCTTCGGGAGCTGTTAAGGAATGTCTGACCCGGTGGCTCTCAACCTTTCTGATGCTTCTGCCTTAATACAGTTCCTCTTGTTGTGGTGATCCCCCCAACCATGAAACTGTTTTCATTGATAACTTCCTAACTAATTTTGTTGCTGTTGTGATTGAAATGTAAATATCTGATAGACAGGATATCTGATATGCAACCCCTGTGATGTGTTGTGATCCACAGGCTGAGAACCACTAGTCTAAATGGTCCTTCTGAGTGGTATAAAACCAGCTTGTCTTCCGTGGATGGAAGATAACTTCCCCATCCTCTACATGGGGTGGAACTGTCCAAACAAAGCCAGCTCCCTTGAACATGGAAAAAGCAGAACACGGAACCGTGCCCATGTGTTACAGTGTTACGTGTGTCTCGAAATTTCCAGTGATGTCAGGGCGCACTAAATGAGCCTAAGTTGATTTCCTTTATTCTATTTCAGAATTTCTTTAACTTTTTACAAAGTTTGGTTGGATTGTTTTTTAGACAGAGTCTGAAGAATAACCCCGAATCATGATCTTCCTGCCTCAGCTGCTTGGGTTCTGGGATCATGCCTGGCTTTTTAAGGATTTCATTGACATTAGTAAAAGTTATTTTTAGACCTGTGTTTTAAGTTAATTTTGAACCCACACACATCTACCTGCTAGTCAATATAAATATGTTGACTTTCTTGCTCAATTTTTATATTCCTCAAAAGACGTATTTCATGGAAGAGGGAGTTGGGCGTCAGAGTGTTTGGGGAGTGGGAACACTAGGAAACGTAGTCAGCATCTCTCTCCTTTCTGTGGCAGAGAAAGCTCAGAAACAGGAGGAAGACGAAGAGGACAGTGACGAGGACACTAGTAGCGAGAGTGAGGCAGAAAGCAGCGAGGATGCGAGTGACGACAGCTCGGATGAGTGCGAAGATGGGTCCTGAAGGTCGCTGCTATGGAGAATTATTTTCAAGAGTGTATGCCATGCAAATGCAAATATAAAGAAGAGAGCTACTGCGTAGTCTAACTGTGGTTTCTTCCGTGCAGAGTTCAGTGGATCTGCATTCTTAGCTTGAGTTCCTTGCTCATGTTTAGGCTTAGACAAAGGCAAGTCACTCCGAGAGGGAAGCAGGGAGGGAATATGATGTGCTGGGAGCACGGGGAGTGCTCTGCATACTTTATTCAGTCTTACAGCCCCAAGTAGTCTGTTACTTCCCCTATTTTACAGGTGAGAAAAGTGAGTCATGGTGAGGGTAAGTAGTTTCTCTAGTGTGAGTCACCTATTTGTAGGGTCTGGATTTGCCTCTGTAATATCATGGCTCAACAGCTGTGTTTCAGTCCCAGCCCAATGACTACCACATCAGGCTTTTTAAAAAGTCATCTGTTCATGTGGCCTGTACCAGCATCTGGAGAGCTCATCTCCTCCTCCCTGGAAGAGAATCAGGACTTTGGTGTTTTTCATGATTGTGTCCCTAGCAACCAGTGAGTAGCTAGGAAATAAATATAATCTCAAATGAATAAATGAAATGAAAGATAAATATTTGTATTTTTTATTTTTTGGTTTTTTGAGACAGGATTTTTCTGTAGGTTTGGAGTCTGTCCTGGAACTCTTTGAAGACCAGGCTGGCCTCAAACTCACAGAGATCTGCCTGCCTTTGCCTCCCTAGTGCTGGGATTAAAGGCATGCACCACCACCACCACCCTGCTGATTCTGTATTTTTTAAGATTTATTTTTTCATGTGTGTGTATGTGTGAGTGTGTACATGTACCGTATTTACCAGAGGGGGACATTGAGGCCACTGGAACTAGAGTTACAGGTGGTTGTGAGCCATCTGGTGTGTCAGGTGAGAACCAAACCGGGGTCCTCTGCAAGAGTAGTCAGTGCTCTTAACCACAGAGCGATCTCCCCAGCCCTGAGACTTTGGATTCTTTGATAAATTTCTACCACATTTAAAGTGATTGTGAGGTAGTTAAGGTAATTTTTTTAATTCCTAAATAATTTCTTTATGAATATCAATCCGAATTGAGGGCAAGAATTTTTAATTTTTTTCTGATTACACAATGTCATGGTATATTCAAAATTCATCCTAGTTTACAAAGTATACTAAAATTATTACTGAACACTAGGGTTTTTTAAAGATTTATTTTATTTATTGCATATTCAGTGTTCTGCCTACATACCAGAAGAGGGCACCAGATTGAATTGTAGATGATTGTGAGCCACCATGTGGTTGCTGGGAATTGAACTCAGAACCTCTGAAAGAGCAGTCAGTACTCTTAACCTCTGAGCCATCTCTCCAGCCCAAGACTAGGGTCTTTTTAATGTTTATTTATGTATATGTATGTAAGTACATGCACACATATTTCTACTACAGTGTACATACGGAGGTCAGAGGACAACTTACAGGACTCACTTCTCTCCTTCCACCTTTACAAGAGTTCCATGCATGGAACGTACGTTGTCAGGCTTGACAGTAAGAGTCTTTACCCACTAAGCCACTTCACTGGCCCATAAATATGCACAGGTCAACACCAAGGCAGCATTGCCAAAAGATACTTAAGGGTCTTCTACACACAGAAAAAAGAAAGTTAAAGAGCTCATAAGAGAGTTTCAATGGAAGAGTAGATAATGAAAATTAGAAAATCAAATATTATTAGCCAAATAAACCAGCAAACCTATAAAATGAATAAGGGGGAAAGACACAACCTTTAAATATGTATGTTTTGAAGCAGGGTTTAATGTAGCCCAGTCTAGCCTCAATGTAGTAGACCGTGGCCTTGAATTTCTGATCTTCCCAAGTGCTGGAATTACAGGCATGAACCACCATGTTTAATTGTATGTAGCTCTAGTGGTCAAACCCAGGGCTTTGTACATGCTGGGCAAGCATTCTGCCAAGTGAACTATATCCCTAGCCCAGCATCCCTAAATATAAGTGGTCTTAATTCTCCAGTTAAACAATACAGACTGACTGCATGGTTTTTAAAAAAATTCAACTATTTGCTGTCTGCAAGAAATTCACTTAATGGATGCTGACACAATAAAAATGAAAGAATGGATAGCTTCAAGAAAACAGAAACCAAAAGCAAAGAGAAATAGCTATATTCAGGTTTGACAGGTGGTGTGTGTGTGTGTGTGTGTGTGTGTGTGTGTGTAACAAAAAGAGGCCATGATTTTGAGAGGGAGCAAGGCAGGTATGGTAGTTTGAATGTCATTGGCCCCCATAAGCTCATAGGGATTGGCACTATTAGGAGGTGCGGCTTTGTTGGAGCAGGTATGGCCTTGTTGAAGGAAGTGTATCTTTGAGGTTGCCAAGCTCAAGATACCACCCAGTGTCTCAGTAGACTTCCTGTTGCCTGCAAGATATAGGATTCTCAGCTATTCCTCCAACACCACGTCTATCTGCACGTCTCCATGCTCCCTGCCATGATGATAATGGACTGAACCTCTGAAACATAAGTTAACCACCTCAATTAGATGTTTTCCTTTATAAGAGCTGTCATGGGTCATGGTGTATCTTCACAGCAATAGAAACCCTAAGACAGCAGGGTACGTGGGAAGGATTGTAGGGAGGAATGGGAAGGGAGAAAGTGAATCAGTAATTACATTTTAATTTTAACATTGTTCTAAATTTAAAATACATTTTAAACTTATTTTTTTAAGATTTATTTATTTATCACATATACAGTGTTCTGCCTGCATGCCAGAAGAGGGCACCAGACTGAATTGTAGATGGTTGTGAGCCACCATGTGGTTTCTGGGAATTGAACTCAGGACCTCTGGAAGAGCAGTCAGTGCTCTTAACCTCAGATCCATCTCTCTGGCCACCTTAAATTTATTTTTTAAATGGAGGCTGGAGAGAGGGCTTAGCAACTAAGAGCGATGGATGATCTTCCAGAGGAACCAGGATTAGTGCCCAGTACCCACATTGTATCTTACAACTATAATTTCTGTTTCCTGGGGTCTGTGCTGGCTACTTTTATGTCAACTTGACACAAGCTAAAGAAATATCAGTTGGAAAATTGCCTCCATAAGATTGGGCTGGAAGCAGGCATCTAGGGCATCTTTTTCAGTAGTGATGTGGAGGGCCCCGTCCATTGTAGGTGGAGACACCCCTGAGCTTGTGGTCCTGGGTCTTGTAGGTTGAGCAAGCCATAACAAGCCAATTAGCTGCACTCCTTGGTGGCCTCTGTATCAGCTCCTACCTCCAGGTGACTTCCTTCGATTATGAACAGTATTGTGGACATGTAAGCAAAATAAACCCTTTTATCTCCAAGTTGCTTTTGGTCATGGTGTTTCATCACAATAGTAACCCTGAAAAAGACCCGGCCTGACTTCTGCAAGCACCAGGCACCCACATGGTGCAGATGCATATATGAAGGCAAAATACTCATAAAATAGATCTTTAAAACTGAAAAAAAAGCCCACTGAGTATTAGCTGACATTGTGGTACACACCCATAATCCCAGTAATCAGGACGTAAAGGCAGGAGGATGAGGAGTTTGAGAACAGCCTAGACTACATGAGACCCTGTCAAAAAAATAAGATGCTTAGAAACAAACATAGCCAAAGAAATAAAAGACCTCTGCAATTAAAACAAAAAAAAATACATTCACAGGCACATATGCATACATTCATACATATATACACACATCACACACACATATGCACACATGCACACACATCACACACTTTTACATCATACACCACACAAACATAAAAGTCAACTGTGTGCCGTTGTACATACATGTGTTGGAATTTTGAAGCAAGGGCTCAGTCTGTAGCCCAGGCTGGTCTTGAACTTACATCAATCCTCCTCCCTTTACCTCCTGAGTACTTAAAGGGATGAGCCACCACACCCAAGTTCAAATATTTATTTTGTTAACTTTCATGGGTTCCTTACTGGAACCCTGTTAACATTTCAACTACTTTGTAACAAGGTTTTGGGCCTCAGGTCCCTCAGAGTATCTTTGCAATAAAAATCATCTAAGCCAGCCTGGTCTGCAAAGCCAGTTCCAGGACAGCCAAGGCTGTTGTTACACAGAGAAACCCTGTCTCCAAAAACCAAACCAACAAAAAAAAATTTAAATGTCTTGGCAAGAAACGGGTCACTTGCAAATTGCCATTAACTTGCCTACCACCATACAGTGTGTTGTAAAGAGTCTTGCCCATCCTAAGAAGTACCAAAATCTTCCCACTGGTGTCGGGAGAATTTAGCCAAAGGTGGGACAGAACAAATCAATTGACTTTATCATCCCCAGAGTATTTTGTCTTAACTCAAAACCTGCGAGTGAGAGAAAAGAGGAAACATGAAAATCAAATGTTGCAGCAGGTGGTGTAGGGTGGGGGTGCCTTTGATCCCAGCACTTGAGAGGCAGAGGCAGAGGCAGAGGCAGAGGCAGAGGCAGAGAGGCAGAGAGGCAGAGGCAGAGGCAGGCAGATCTCAGAGTTTGTTTTTGTTTTGTTTTAAGTCACTAGGCAAAATTAAGCAAACACTGAGAGACTTGTCTCAAACTAAAATTTGCTAGCCTTGCTCTCTAAGCTGCTAAGGCAATGCTTGCTTAGTGTTTCAATCCGCGATGCCACTTACATTGTTCAGGAAGGCTTAGCTCTGGGGAAGGAGCACAGCTCTTTGCCCTTCCTCTGCTTTCTCATCTGGATCCAGAGGAACAAAAAACCAAACTGGCCCAACAGGGACCAGCCATACTCACACTGCAGTTGCTAGGTGCCTTCCCTCCCTGATCAAAATCCCAGCTGTTCACTGGGAGATTTTTGGAATGAGTCTATCCAGCTGAACAAAATAAAACCAACAAATCCTGAATTGAGTGATTACAGTGATCAAGAAACATTCTGTGCTGGGACACAATGGTAAGACAGTAATAACTTGGTTGCACAGAACTTATTTGTGTGTGTTTGTATACATGTGGTGGGGTAGGGGGTATGCATGAGTGTGTGGGGGCCAGAGGTTGGCATCAGGTATCTTCCAATATTGCTTTCTGCCTTGTTCTTTGAGACAGGGTCTCACTGAAGCCAGTGGTCACCAATTGGTTAGGCTGACCAGCAGGGTCCAGAAATGAGCAAGTGCTGTGAAATAACCCTCTTGTACACTGTGAAGATTTCCACTCGGATTGGTTTAACAATGTCACTCAGATTAATTTAATAAAAAGCTGATTGGCTGGTAGCCAGGCAGGACAACCAAACTGAGAACGCTGGGAGGAAGAAGGTCAGACTCGAGGAGTCTTGATTCGAAGGGAGAAACAAGATGAACGTGCTGTGTTGAAAGAAGGCAACACCATGTGGCTGAGGGTAGATAAGAAATATGGGTTAGCCGGCGTTGGTGGCACATGCATTTAATCCCAGCACTCGGAGGGAGTGGCAAGTGGGTCTCTGTGAGTTCCAGGCCAGCCTGGTCTTTAGAGTGAGCTCCAGGACAGGCTCCAAAGCAGTATAGAGAAACCCTGTCTCAGAAAAAAAGGAAAAAAAGTAAGTAAGGAAGGAAGGAAGGAAGGAAGGAAAAGAAATATGGGTTAATTTAAATGT